CAGAAGTGATGTCAATACCAGATGCGGAAGTAGTGAGGTCAGCGGGGCTAGACCGACACACTGCAGAGGTGTTACCTAGAAAAGCGCTTTTGTTACTGTATAATAAAACCTTTTGTGATATACATATACAATTTCCCAGAACAACTCCCACTGATATAAATATCAGAATGTGTTTAAATAAATCCACACATAATTTCAAATAAATAGAATATAAAAATATATATAAAAAAAAATATATTAATCAACCCAAAGTGTCCAAGTTCCAAAAATATTTCAAAAATTATTTTCTTATAAGTCCAGTGAACGATCCTAAATACTCCGTGATGACCTCAAAGAAAAAGAAAAAGAAAAATTCATAGTGTATTACCCTTAAAATATAAGCTTATATACTTCACTCTGTGCACAACACAAAATCCACATCAAAATTGTGCAAAATGAATTAATTATATATCAATCCACATAAACCAAAATAACAAAATAAAATCAAAAATCAAAATTAAATAAAAACCAAAAATGTGAAAAACCGTGATCACTCCAACCACAAGTGAATAGTGATACTAGGTACTAGTACCCTTTAAACTCCAGCCACAGATGATACCAAATACTATTACCCTCTTCCAATATTTTCAGGCATAAGCTGACATAGAAAGCCCGTATCTCTCAATCCTTCATTCTCAAGGGTATTTCCTCATAGGAGTAAAGAAAGGCTCTTTTAAGCAGGATCCATAAAAAGGAACAGATTTTAATAGAAACTTACATATAAAACAGGGATATCCAGCTTCCAGCATTGATCTCTCAAGTCCTAGGTTGAAAACCTCATGTTTCCAACCAACTTTTGTTACTGACTTTTGTGAGTTACCATTTTTGTTACTTAATAAAGTCAGTGCTTTTATGCTACACTTAGAAGGCACTGCTTCTCCTCATATTTATCCACATGCAGAGTTCCTTCTAACTCTTCCACCAGCTGCAGCTCAAGCATCTGGGCACATTTGGACTTTTATAGGACTTCATCTATGTACTGAAAGCCTATAAACATACTTGGACTGTTTTCTGTCAGTGCGCCAGATAACCCCTTATTCCTGTTTAAAAACTGGTATAGTCTTTGTAATATGTAGAACTTCATTTTATTGTAAGTTTTCAGTTTATCACAATTAAAATAATAGAAGTAATGTCAAAAGTTATCTTTTTCAAAGATTAATAGATTGAAAGAAGAACAAAGCTAAAGCTATTGCTATCTTTCAATCAATCAGGCCTTATTCCTCTTATAGTGAATACAGCACAAAGAAAAATATCACTGATACAGTATGTATAATCCTGGTTGTATTATGCAGTGGACAATGCTAGTGCCATCATGTTTGAAATCCATGCAGACCCATCCAGTCAAGTAGCACTTGTGTCAGGAAAATCACATCTTGAAAGCTTGTGTCTCCTGCATCAATCACCTCTTCATTAAAGCAGGCTACCACTTCAGCATTTAATTTACAAAAAAGTGTTTGAAAAGACCAAAGTGGAGAAGGCACAAAAGAAAAAGAACTTCTTCAGGTTTACAGCATTTATTTAATGGGCTCATGTATACCAGCAAACACCACTTAAGTAAAACCAAATAAAGAAAAAAAGAAATTCATTTGTTCAAGCGTTGCATTCTTTGACTCATTTTCATCAGTTTATTAAAGTAATCAACACAAAAACAAAGGCAAGATCATGATAGAAGTTGTCAAACTTAAACTTCTTTTTAATGAATTTAACCCTCATCCTACACTCCGGCCAGCTCCTCTCACCAGGATTTTCATAAATGCACTCCAAAAGTAAAGAGTAAACTAACCCATGGCATTCATTGTTAATCAGTATCAATTGACTAAGATGCAGACAATACTTTAACTGCTATCAGTGTGTCATTGCATTATTTTCTCTTCACAATGGTGAGTTCTAAAGTATAAATATTGGTAGGATGTGCAATTGTTATTTTGCTTAAAAGTGGTTGTAAATCTCAGACATGAAATTGGAACAAAACACATTTTTTCTGTAGTGTTTACTTGCCTCTCTCCAAAGCACCAAGGGGTTTATTTACTAAAGCTGGAGAGTCCAAAATCAGACTCCCTTCTGCATAGAAACCAATCAGCTTCTAACCTCAGCTTGTTCAATGAAGCTTTGGCAATGAAACCTGGAAGCTTCTATGCAGAAGTGAGTCTGATTTTGGACTCTCCAGCTTTAGTAAATAAACCCCCAAGTGTCATATCTCTCTGCTGTCTAGTTCCTCTGCTATCTGCATGAGTCACTTCTGACACGTTTTCCTGACACCAAGAGAAAAAAAGGTGACAGTGGAGGGAGTTTGCGCTGATTGACAGCTGCGGCTCTGTTCCTGTGTGGGGGGGGGGGGGGGACCATTTCCTCCAATCAGCTCTCAGATCTCTTGTTCAGTGTGTAACTGCAGCTTCCTGCCCCCTGCTTTGCAATTCAATGAAAAATGTTTTTCATCTCTGAGATTTACAAGGATGTACAGGACAAATGGTTGCAAATAAACAGGTACAACTTATATAGCAGGAGTAGTTTAATCTCAGTGCATCACCTGAGGCCAGTCACTTCACTGGGTATATGTAAGGATTTACAACCACTTTAAATAAAACCGCAATTTAACCACTGAAAGCCTTTATTCGTGAAAGATGTTATCTCACTAATTTTTCACCACTTCAAATGGACCTTATTCTTGTCATCCTAGGCACTGCAGAGTTATCAGCTATCTGTATTTTAAAGTAAATGCCCGGTCAAAATCATAAATCTCATTATATGAATGTTAAACATTTCCACATTTAGTTACAATCTCCTTCTTCATAACCAATGACCAGTAAAATAGACTACAGGACGCTTCCAGCGAAAGAGTTTCAACACTGTCATGTGACTGTGGAATTATCCACACCATTGCCACCCTTTCCTTTTTGCTGTAGGCACTGGATTACAGTTGTGTCTCTTGACACTGTTGTGTATCTTCTTCTAGTGTTGTCACTGCTGAAACTAGACAGGTTCCACTTGCACAGTTTCCATATCACAACCAGTTCCATTGTTCTTCATTTCTGAGTAATGGCAGCATTGGAAAGTGCAGAAATGGGTGCCATCAACTAAAATTTCTGGCACTTGCAAGTGACATCCCCAACACCACTTATGCTCGCTCACACCCACTGCAAAGGACAGTATGAAACTGAAAGGTTGCAGTCACATGACCATTGAGAAAGCTTGCAAAAAAGTAATTTTGAACAATTAGCAAAAAAAAGTGAGAGCACAATAACTTTATGCTTTCCTTCCACTAAAATTTACAGTAAGATTTTTTTTTGCTGTACAACTGTTTTACAGAGTGATAACATAATAATTTTGTGTGTTCTATGAATTCAGCTGATCCATATAACAAAGCTGGTGCTAAAAGAAATGTGATCTTTAAAAAAGGCAAACAATGTACTCTAATGAAAATACAATAAGTGTTATATGTTGGTGAATTGATCACCCTGATTCAGGTATGGCAATTGCTCAATAGCACACCCATACACAGATTATATATCTGCACAAAATATAGTCTAACCATGTATAGATGGAAACTACTGGAGCAGATATTCCCAGAGTATTAGGATCCAAGCATTATTATTTTGTGTTCAAAGTACATACATAAGCCACTGCTACATCACAAATCGTATGCACAGTTTATATACCATCTAATCTGAGTTAATGGGGCAAAATGGATCCTCCATATTCTTAAAAGAACAATCAGAGCCTTTATGTATGCTTTAACAAGACACTAAAACAAACCTAATTCATAGAAAACAACACATGCACAAAAGACTACTAGCACAAATCGTATTTGACATTTGTGAACAGTGAGTCCCAAGGCTTGTGGGAATTAAATGAGCCTAGTAAAATGTGAATTTGTTTGTAGTCATGAACACATGATGTTCTACCATTGTGACACTGAAAGATTAACTGGCTAAAGTTTTTTTTTTTTTTTTTTTTTGGCCTACTTTTACACAGTTTAAGGTGTTCTGCTGTGTTTTTTATATCCCTTGCTACTCACTCATATCAAAGGATGTACTTTGACATAAACCCCACCAAGGCTACAGCAAGTAGTTTTGTTTTTTCTCTTCTAACGCACTGTACCCACAATGCACCAAAATTCAGTTTTGAATATACCCTAATAATTTAGACATCACCAATGAAAACAATACATATACTGTGTGTATATTGTACTGAATGCCAAGGATGAGTGCTAGAAGGGTGTGGCACAAATATTTGGGTTGTGGTCCCTTCAAGGGAAATGTTTTGGGTACTCAGGGGTCTCATCCTTGATGGGTGAGGAATTCTGGGCTAGTCAAGTAAAGGAGAGGACTGACTTGCAGTCCTCTTGGCATTGCTAGTGGCTTATTTGGGACCCAGAATTCTTGAGGTCTGGAGTGACATTGGGGTGGGAAAAGGACCTTCACTCCTGACTATGGGAACTCTGGTCCGTACAGGGTTAAGCAGCCTCCAAGAAGCAGCACATAAGGCAGCAAGCTCCTAGTGCTAGGGGGTGGACTAGGAGTTGAGAGGAGACCTGGCTGCATGCTGACAAACATCTGAAGCTGGAGGCACTGGGGTAAAGTCCTTATATGAACTTTACTTGTCTGATATTTTTGTTTGCATTGAAGATAAGCAGATTTTTGCGTTGTGTTTTCCTAAATTTTGTTATGCTGCTGGCAGCTATAATCTGTTTACCTTAAAAAAAAAAAAATTCAATAAAGACTTATGTTTCAAAGAAAACTGCTGTTGCACATGATCCCCGGGGTGATATACCCCTGAGCTTTTATATATATATATATATATATATATATATATATATATATATATATATATATAATCCCCTCCATGGCCACAGGTGTATCAAATCAAGCACCTAGGCAGGCAGACTGCTTTTACAAACATTTGTGAAAGATTGGGTCGCTATCAGGGGCTCAGTGAATTCAAGCGTGGTACCGTGATAGGTTGTCCATCTGTGAAATTTCCTTGCTACTAAATATTCCACGGTCAACTGTTAGTGGTATTATAACAAAGTGGAAGCAACTGGGAACAACGGCAACTCAGCCATGAAGTGGTAGGTCACACAAAATGACAGAGTGGGGTAAGAGCATGCCGAAACGCACAGTGCACAGAAGTCGCCAACTGTCTGCAGAGTCAATAGTCAAACTTCATGTGGCCTTCAGATTAGCACAACAGTGCACACAGAGCTTCATGGAATGGGTTTCCATGGCCGAGCAGCTACATCCAAGCCTTACATCACCACATGCAATGCAAAGCATTGGATGCAGTGGTGTAAAGCACGCCGCAACTGGACTCAGTGTTCTCTGGAGTGACCAATCTTGCTTCTTTGTTGTCTGGCAATCTGATGGATGTGTCTGGGTTTGGCGGTTGCCCGGAAAACAGTACTTGCCTGACTGCATTGTGTCAAGTGTAAAGTTTGGTGGAGGGGAAATTATGATGTGGGGTTGTTTTTCAGGGGTTGGGCTTGGCCCCTTAGTTCCAATGAAGGGAACTCTTAAGGCGTCAGCATACCAAGACATTTTGGACAATTTCATGCTCCAAACTTTGTGGGAACAGTTTGGGGATGGCCCCTTCCTGTTCCAGAATGACTGCGCACCAATGCACAAAGCAAGGTCCATAAGACCATGGATGAGCGAGTTTGGGGTGGAGGAACTTGACTGACCTGCACAGAGTCCTGATCCCAACCCAAGAGAACACACCTTTGGGATGAATTAGAGTAGAGACCACGACCCAGGCCTTCTTGTCCAACATCAGAGCCTGATCTCACAAATGCGCTTCTGGAAGAATGATCAAACATTCCCATAGACACACTCCTAAACCTTGTGGACAGCCTTCCCTGAAGAGTTGAAGCTGTTATAGCTGCAAAGGTTGGGCCAACTCAATATTGAACCCTACGGACTAAGACTGGGATGCCATTAAAGTTCATGTACGTGTAAAGGCAGACGACCCAATACGTTTGGCAATACAGAGTGAGTGAGTGTGTATATACATATAGATATATATATACACACACACAATACATCTATAGTGTGTCTACTATTATTAGAACTCAAATGTAAGGAGTACTGAGGTGTGTATGACACCCATAATGGCCAACAGACAATGCATACCAGTGCATATTACCTTGTATTGTAAGGTAATTCTTTGGATTTGCCATTTTTACAAATTTCTTTGTGTCCAACTGACAGCTGTTGTGAAGAACTGATTTTATCAATACAAAGATGCTCCTGAATTCTAATATCAAGTGTCTTTATCTGGTGCACCTCACCTAGGAGACTTAGACTGACCATAAAAAGTTTTTTTTTCCCTCAGATTCCTCCATCCACACAAACAAGGTGGATGGAGGAATTCCCTTACCAGGACATTGCGGGGGATATTAAGGCCAGGTTCACATATGTGCAGCCCTGTGGGCCACAATTTGTGCGGGCACGAAAGCCCATTCATTTGAATGGACTCCCGTGCCCTGGGACACGCAGGAAAGAAGTTCCTGCACTTCTTCGGAAATCGCACCCCGCACGGGGTTCCCAGTACAGTTGCAATTTGCAGTACGTGCTATTGAAATTAATGGCACCCACCCATGGGTCCCGCATTCCTCTGTGTGGGTGGTGTGGCTGCAGGTATTTCTGCTGGTCCTCCAGTGGCACCACCTGCACAGATGTGAACCAAGCTTGTTCACTCTGGTGCACCTGTGCATGGTAGCCAATCAGCTTCTAACCTAAACTTGTTCAATTAAGCTTTAGCAATAAAACCTGGAAGCTGATTGGTTTCCATGTAGAAGTGCACGAGATTCTGAGTGAACCAGCTTTTGAAATTTTGACACATTCTGATGAGATCTGCCAATGTCACAATACACTAATTAGTGGCTGCAGTCGCTGATGGACAAATACTTTCCAGCATGTCCCTTTGACAGAAGTTGATCAAACAGTTGACTTCTGTTGAGCAGGGACAGCCACATTGTCAGGGATCGCGGCTCCGTGGTCCACGATCGCGGCTCTGTCCACCGCGCATGCGCATTGGCGGCAGATCGCGCCGAGACACAGGCACTAGGTCCCGGCGAGCCGCAGCTGACAGGACGCCGCGCATGCGCACTAGGTGCCGCGGGCGCGCCTCAGGCGTCCAATGACAGCCGGGGGCGCGTCCTAGCCGGCCAATGACAGTGCAGGGCGCACTATTTAAAGATGCCCTGCACTGTCACAGATTGCCGCAAGGTCTTCCTGTGATCCTGAGTTCCTGCACCTGTCTAGTGACCCCGATTGACCCTGACTACGCTGCCTGCCCCTGTGATTGACCCGGATTGCCCTGACTATTCTGCCTGCTCCTGTGATTGACCCGGATTGTCCTGACTACTCTGCCTGCTCCTGTGATTGACCCGGATTGCCCTGACTATTCTGCCTGCTCCTGTGATTGACCCGGATTGTCCTGACTACTCTGCCTGCTCCTGCGTTTGACCCGGATTGCCCTGACCATTCTACGGATTGACTTCCCTGCTGACCCTGCGAGTGACCCGACTACTCTTCGCCTACCGATTCTGTACCCCGCTTACCCTCACGGGCCCACGATCCGTTACTACCCTGCTGGGGCCGCCATCCTCTTCATATCTGGCTCTCCCGGTACCTGTCCCCAAGGTCTCCTCAGCCACTGGTGGGCCTGCTCGGAGGTCGTGACCTGGCCCGGGACTGTTTCAAGTCCATCCCCACCATCAGGGGCTCTGGTGAAAGCACAGCCCGGGCTTAGACCCCACGCTCTGAGTAGGTCTGTCAGTTGGCAGCCTGAGGCACCACCTGGCGGATCATAACACACATACTGATTAAAATTCATCTAGTCCTAGCAAGAACCAGGCACATTTCAATCAGTGTGTGGCCAACTCCACAAGATATTATTTTCCACAGGTATGGCACATACATTCAAGCTGGACCAATGTAACTATGTAAAATTTGCCACACCTGGAATTCATCTTTAACTGAATTCTTGAAAAACAACCACAGCCTGATTCCCGATATTGTTTTCCCGCAAACTATTATTATGCATTTTATGAGTGTTTGATATTTTATGCATGTATGGAGTATTATTGTTATGTCTGCTGTTTACCATTTTGTAAAGCAACTATTAATTGTCAGGAGAAATGTTTGGACTGCTATTGTATTGTTTCTATACAATGACTATTGCTTTTCTGCGTGGACCACTTTTGAATGTATCAGTTATTGTTATTACTGCACAGGCTGCTGCAGATCTGCTTTTTACTGTATGTGGTGGCATTCAATCTTTGAATGAATACACACGCAGCTGCTCTGCAATATATTGGCAGAGGCTTAATAACTGCATAGAAGATCTCGGTATTTGTAGCAGAGGATCATTTAGCTGTATAAATGGAGTGACGCTTCTGATGATGCCCTTTTGGGCAAAACATGTATTGCAGAGCAACTGACGTAATTTCGTTGCATGAATTTTGTAGTTACCATTATATTTTTTTCTTCAATGAGATCAACTCTAGACTGTCGCCACTGGTGTTTTACAATTGAATTTGCTTGTTTTAGGAGTGGATATCCTCACAGTAGTGACTTAAAGTGCATATCGACCTCTGTAATGCAGTGTGAGGTCTAATTTTCCTAGCAGCCTTCATTTCACTTTTGATGGAGGGCATAAGATTATCCTCTGCATCTAGGATTCTTTAAATGGAAGCACTGCCAGCGTGTTTAAAAAAATTTCTATAGTTTTGGATGTGTATATTCATCTAATATTTCAAGCAGCTGTGGTTGTTTTTCCAAGAAATCAGATAAGGGTGGAGCTTGACATTTTGTTGGAAAGAAAAAAATACCCTCGTGATATTTGTACATTGCAAGGATTTTAAAAACGAACTCTGGTCGAAATCAATTTTTTTCCTTTCCCTCCCACCGCCTTCTAACCCATCCTGCCAGCAGTTCTTCATACCTGTTTGGGACAATTATACTCACCCAATTCCCCCCATTCTGGTCCTTTGCTGATTCCTCTTTGGCCTCTGGGGACCACTAGTCCAGTATTGCATATTAACCCTCAGCAGCCTGTTCTGTCAGTCTGATGTCAGTCTTCTTCTGGCCAGCCATTGGGAATTGTCCAGATCATGTAGGCAGTGATATATACAAAGAAAGAAGGACCCATCTAAGATGAAAACTGAGAGAAGGACCCAGCCCTGGATGATCACATGTCCACAGCTTAAAGTGGTTGTAAACATGAAATATGAACAAAGCAAATCCACCTATAGTGTGTACTTGTCTCCATCCAGACCACTAAGTGGCATTTCTGTCTTCTGCTTCATTTCTCTGCTATCTGCATGAGTCACTTCTTACAAGTATTCTTGACACCAAGAGAAAAAAAGGTGACAGGGGAGGGAGCTCCAGCACACAGCCTGTGACCGACAGCCTCAGCTTGGTCCCAGAGTTAAGGGGGTGTGTCTCTTCTGTTCAGTTAGTAAATCGGAGTTGCACGAGGAGACTGATGGCATGAGCAGAGGAATAGAGAAATCGATTTGGTTGTTGTCAACATATAAATTGTGTTGGAAGCCGTGGAAGGCTATCAGCTGACTCAGTGATAAATAGAAAATGTAAGGGATCCAAGAACAGAATCTTGGGGGACCCCTACAGTAAGAAAAAGGGGAATATAGAGTTGTACGCAGGGGCAGACTAACAACTCATGGGGCCCCTGGGCAATAGGGGATCATGGTGCCCCCGTGTCCTTGCCCAAACTCAAAAAAGCCTATGAAAAAGGTACCAGGGGCACCTCATGGGGGCCCCCTACTGACCCCAGGGGATCATGGGGCCCCTGTATCCTTGCCCAAACTCAAAAAAGCCTATGAAAAAGGTACCAGGGGCAGCTCATGGGGCCCCCTACTGACCCTGGGCCCTCGGGCAGTGCCCGAGTTTCCAAATGGTCAGTCCGCCCCTGGTTGGACGTGACATCAAAGGTGCAGTGAGTTAGGTAAGAGGAGAGCATAGTCTCAGAAGCCAAGGAATTTAATTTTTCTCAGAAGCAGTCTGTATCAAAGACAGCAGAAAGGTCCAAGAGTAAATGTACAACATTGTGACCATTGGTTTTAGCAGATAGTAAGTCATTAAAGTATTAGGAGGGCTGTTTCTGTGGAGTGTTGCAGGTGAAATCCAGACTGAAATAGGTCAGGAAGGTTACCAGTGACGTGGTAGCTCAGGTGGTTGTAGACTAGGTGTTTTAGGAAACACCAAAAATAAATGAAAAAAGGATTTTTGTAGGTGCCAAAAAGTAAAACATTTATAAAAGCATTCAAATTTGAATTATTACAAAATTA